GCCGCCGATTTTTTTCACAAATTACGAGCGGTATTGTACTCCTTCAGCCAAGTATTGGATAATCCACCATTCAATGTCTGGTCCCGCTTGCACCAATCAGATTTACCGGTGGCGATAATGAGTTACTCAATAAACCATCGATCATGCATTTATCAAATCCGTCCAGTCATGACGATCATGACGACTCTGGCAATACTTCCACTTCTTCCTATGCTAGTGCTTTCTCTATCCAATGAATACAACATCAAAGCAGGAAAAAATGTTGAGTTGCTTGAGCACGTGAGTTTTTAAGCGGACCAAGACAGTGCTTGAATATCTTTAGATGTTGTATATGGCGCTATGTGCTGGCGCTACCAATCCTGCTAAATGTATTCCTCAGCACTTCGTTTATACCATACTCAAAACGTAAGGACTCAACCTCAGTACCTGCAAAATCATAATCACATCTTCACTCAGATTCTCGGCAGACTGCAGTGATACCATTCTGAAGGGAGAATGTCGAGCAACGGTACGCATAATGTTGTTCATTGATGTCTTTTGCTCATTCAAGGAACTTGGGGAGCAAAGGCTAGAATGACAAGCACTCAACCCGTTCTGCCTATCCTAGACGGTTAATTAGGAACTTCTAGGTAGTATTCAGCGCCAAAGAGTTAGCATTGGGGATATTCTTCAAAGGACCAACGAAAATTGCCGCATTTAAATCATCTGCGGCGAATGCCCTATCAGCTCAGGTGATATACTGCACTTCGTATAAGTGCCATGAGATCTTTAACGAGATTTTTCAGTCCTTGGTTGATTTTAATGGCAGGGGCCGGGTTGGAGATCAATTTCTGATCACATTTAATAGACTATGGAATGTCCAAGGCTTAGGCTCATACGTTAATGAGCTGTGGACAGAGTACTGTGATCTTACTCTCATGGTAATAATTACCTTTCATTCTAAGGAAATATTACTTTAGCGCATTTTTCTGGAGCAATTCTAGGTTGGAGGACACTCGATCGCATCATGTAATGCGCAAATGGCGGCCGTATCCATTAGGAGTGCGGGCATGTGGAGGAAAAAGAAAATTATCTATTACGGATATGGCACTCCACGCTGCGGCGATCAGGTTTTAGCACATATCTTGATGTTACATAGCTTCCACAGTCTTCTAGGAGTTTGCTGCTCGAATGGATGAAGCGGCTTACCACAGATATCGTATAAATTGGTTGGCTGACAATATTCCGGTAAATGACTTTCCTTGTCCTATCGTGCATGACGACAGTGCTCTTGATTGCAACCTCCTGAATTTTTCCTGATTGTCGGGTCACAATATCTCATATCTTTGATTTGGGAAGTGATGTGTATTAAAACTGTGAAAAATGGAAATTGAGAGGAGAATGACATGTAGCAAAAGACTTGGCGATGAATTGCCTTTGCCTGAGTTTGCCTTTTCCCACATAACTGCGCAGGCCGATTGAAAAGATCAAACGCGTAGATCTTTTGTGTACGAAAGTGCAAACGTTATAAACCGAATTCTGGCAGACTTTGGAAAAGCTCACGTAAGAGCTTCTTTTTATGCCCACTAGCAACGACGATGACCTCCGACCCTCTGCATGTACTCTTCAAATCATGTGCACTGAGATCTTTTCTTGTGCGTCCTATGCAGTTTCTTAATCTCCAAATCTATGTTTATTTCTTCAGTTTGTCTTTGACATATTCAAAAAAAAAACGCGCTGACGAAGGGTCTTACTTGCCCTGCCATTTTGGACAATACTAGCACTTTTAGGTCGTGCTTATGAACCTATAACGTTTCCGTTACATGGAAGATTTTATAAAATTCTGGTGTAGCTGGAGACACATAATTGTTAGCAAAGCTTCTCTAGCGCAGTACGGTCTTCTTTTGCTGAAGTTATAGTAGACAGACTGTAGAGAGAGAACAAGCACGAATATCCTGGAAAATTCAACAAATCAAAGGGTTTTTT